ATGGTTTCAGACCTTGGTTTTACTGCTGACTTGCTGTGCCATTCAGCAGGTCCCCAACCTGCTTGGTGCCAAATGACAACTGGAGTAAAATAAGCCTGACTTGGGAGTCTCCCTGGTGCGGATCTGATTTCTTGTGGCAAGGTTACAGCAGCTGACATTTGCTCAGCCTTTTTACACACATGTCATCTCAGCTGACACCCTGGGGCAGATATGATTGCTAGTGACAGATGTGGACTTTCCCAGTGCCTCCAGCTGGCCTGTGCAATAGGCCTGCTTTTCTGACTCCAAATTCTGTGCTTATCCCTCTCCTGAGGCTCCTGAAATGAGACTTTCTTCCTTCTTCCCAAATGTGGACGCCGAGGAAAAGGACTTTCAGCCGGTCACAGCCCCTGTGCTGGCAGCCCTGGGACACAGCCCCTCTATGTCCCTCTTCTGCCATTTGCTTGCTTGAGGCTCCTTCCCCTTTTCACTTCTGCGGCATCTGGATCCAGGCTGAGCAGAGCCAGGCTGGTTTGCACCTTACATTGGATAAATGATTGTAGACAAGGCTGCAATGAGGAGGAATAAGAATCCAGTTCCTTCACCAATAAAAAAAAAAAAATGTGGGGGCAGGGGTGGGGGCGGGGTGGCGGTGAGAATCCAGTTCCTCTTAGACAAACTTTAATACCAAGTTGTCTGGATTCGTCATGATCTGGCCTCTGGCCATTTGTCAGGCCTCTTCCCCTGACCCTTCATTTCCTTCCTGCACTCAATGTCATGTTTAAATATCTCAGTGTTTCCAGAAAGGGCTTTGTGGTTCTACAGTTTTGCATAGGTCCACCCCTTGGGATGATCTTTAGGATGCAGCAGAGTGACCTTGTCCCAAGGAAGCTCTCCGCTGTCCCCTGCTCCCCCTCCTGGTTCCCCACCAAACAGCTGGTCTAATACCCATCCTCTAGGGGCTGTGGTTGGCTTGAGGACTCACAGCTGCCCCCTGGCTGTCCCTGATGTAGAGAATGGTCCTTGGCTGACAGAAGCCTCCTTGTCAGGGAGGCTACCACCACCCAGCAGCCCTCATCCAAAACCTGGAAAGAAGTGTAAAAGCCAGTCCCTTTGCCTCCAGGAGACCACTCTGCATTGCAGCTGTGATCCAGAGCCATCTGCTCACTCCTCCGGACCAGGCCAGGGGCCAATGTGACCTGAGACCTCCTGGCTCAGCAATTGCTCCTGCTTCACTTCCTTCTGGGAATTTTTCTCCCACAAACCTCAGCCCCCAGACCACATCCTGGGGCTAAGGCACTAGCACATTCCATTGTGATTAACTATTTCTCTTCCTGTCTCCCAGGCTAGTCTCTGAGCTCCTGGAGAGCAGGGACAGTACCGTCCTAGCTGGGGGCAGAGCAGGAGCTCTGCATGGAGATCACTGAGCTTCAGGGTGGTTCTACAGTCCTCACACCTTCCTGTCTCCATCTCCTCCATTTCCTCCCTTCTCCCAGGGATCCCCTCCTAACTATGCCTCCTTCCTGGAATCCCCTACTCCATAAGCAGCAAAGACTTTGGGGTGGGAGAGCAATAGCTACACCCCCATTCCACCCCCCTGCTTCTAGAAATTTAGGCTGAGAAGGGGCAGACTGGCAGAGTCTGGAAGGCTGGAAGGCAGGGCTGGGCAGACAGCCCTGGCAGAGGGTGGGGGGTTGGTGGGGGGTCTGGGTAGTGGAAAAGGAGCCTGGTGCACAGTCTGAGCCTCCGGAGGCCATTTGCAATATGCCCCACAGCGGCCTTTTCCAGTGGCTGCCCTTGACTTTCCCTCCCTCTCTCTGCACCTCTTAGCTTCATAAGCGCTCTAAGAACGTGCCCACTCTGTTTCATTCATTGCCACCCACTCGCGGCACCAACCCACGTCACAGGAGGGATGTCTTTGCCTCAGAAGCTTATTAACTTTCCAGGCGGCCTCCAGCTCACGCAGGTGCTGAGTCAGTGCCGGCTCAGCTGCCCCGAGGGAGGGAGGCCGGCCGGCTGACTCAGATTGCTGGGTTGCAGCCAGGGGTCCTCTCCAGCAGCAGGGCTACACTCCCCAGCAGGGGCGGGCTGGGGTTATGCTCCCCGGGCTAATCCTACCCAGCTGCACTCGGCCTACTATCAGGCACATCTCTGCATCCTTCCCTGGTCTCCCTCTGGGAGACCCCCACATGAGCTCCAGCAAGACTTCTGGGGGAAGGGGGAGGAAGGGGAGAGGGGTGTGGAAATTGTTACCACCTTGACTGGGGACTTAGTCTGTTTTATATTGCTATAACAAAATACCTGAAACTGGGTAATTTATAAAGAATAGGATTTTGGGGGCCTCACGGTTCTGGAGGCTGGGAAGTCCAAGAGCAAGGTGCCGGTTTCTGGTGAGGGCCCCTGTGGGCATCACAACATGGTGGAGAAAGCTGTGAGTTCATGGCTCTTCCTCTTCTATAGCCACCAACTCCATCACGGGACTTCTCATGACCTCATCTAATCTGAGTTCTGCACCAAAGGCCTCACTTCCAAACACCATTAATATATGAATTTGATGATTAGGTTTTCATCATATGAGCTTTGGGGGATACTTTCAAACCAGAGCAAGTCGTCCAGGGCTGGCCATGTGACCTGTCAGAGCCCATGAGAAGCATTGATATTCAGGCAAAAAAAAAAATGTAGAACAAAAAATACTCCTTCCTTTTTGCTAGACTTGAAACAGAAGAGGAAGGGAAAGGAAGGGACTAGAGCTGCCATGTCTTGTTGCCATGTAACACCTCAGACTGTAGCCAACCCTGTAAAAGAGAAAAATGGAGGGGAGATGAGTCCTGACTGTACCTAGAGTCCTGAATCAGCCATGCCTGAAGCTGGAATAATGTGACTTTGCAGCTTCATGCCTCAATGTGTTTCTTTTGCTGAAGTGAGTTTTCTGTCGGTTGAAAAAAAAAATCTAAGTATTTAGCACCACATTTAACTAATCCCAAGACATACATTTTTTTTTTGTTTTCATTTCCCAAGGTTGGGAGCATAACTTACAATCAATGGCATCGTCCCCACGAATCAGCCATTGTTCTTTGCAAATTTGAGAAATTGAGCAGAGCTGTTCGTATTGTCTTCACGTCAACTTAGGCCCGCGGGGGTACTGCATGTACTGAATTTAGTGCTATTGAAAATGTCTTTGAAAGATTATACTGTGATTCAGCATTTGGATCAAAAGTGATTATGTAGAAAGAAAGGCAGCCAACCAGAGAGTGAGGCTGAGATTAGTAGAAGCAACCTTTGTCTTTGGAGGAATGGGTTGCTCTTCCTTCACAAACCAACAAGCAAGTGCTTTGAAAAACCTAAGATGCAAAGAGCCCCACAAGTAGAAGTTGCATTATGTTTTGTTCCTGAAACACAGGTAAAAAAAATGGATTATCACACACTAAGCAACGTAACAGAAGACAGGAGAAACTGTGGACTCTCATGGGAGGCTGAGAGGAATTTCAAAGCAACCGGAGTTGCAGTGGGCTGTTGTTAAGACGCTGTCACAGGGTGTGACATAGTGTGATCATTGTTTTCTTTCTCAGTGGTCCATCTTATAACCATGGAGATACACTACCACCTCCATTTTGCAAAAGTGCTGTTAAAGTGACTGGCTCAAGCCAGGTGTGGTGGCGCACACCTGTGATACCAACGATCTGGAGGTGGAGGCAGGAGGATCACGAGCTCAAAGCCAGCCTCAGCAATTTAGCAAGACCCTGTCTCAAAATAAAATATAAAAAAGGGGCTGGGGATGTGGCTCAACAACAATGACACAAAAGACTTGCTCAAGGTCACAAAATGAAATGAACCTGAACACCATGGACCTGACCATTACTTCCTAGCCACATCTGTCCCTGGTCAAGGGAGTGGAGTGCTGGGGACATCTGTCCATCCCTGTCCTGCTGTCCAAGCACTCTGGCCTGGTCTGGCTCAGCAGAGGTAGAATCCAGTAGTTACAATGGCCTGGCCTGATATTTGCTCTTAGATTGTCTCAGTGCACTAGCTTGGGCCTAAAGAGAGATCTCTATCCCCATCAATCTTCATACTATAGTTGAGTAGCACCTGGAGGTTGTGCCTTGGGTTACAGTTTTTCATCCTCTAAGTATTTTTAAACATCTTTGCATAAAATGAGATTTTGATAGAGATTATGTAGTAATTTCTCTGTGCACAAAACAATAATAACATTCCTGCCTGAGTGATCTTTCTGTAAGAGCTGATAGAAAAACAGCAGATGATATTTCTAAGGAGGTAGCAGGAATGGTAGCTGAGCACACAGACTCTAGACTCAGAATGCTTGAGTTCAAAGCCTGGATCTGACATGTACTATCTGTGTGACCATGAGCAAGTCACTTAAACTCTCGGTTTCCTCATATAACAGTAATTAATAGGACCTACTTCATAGAGATGTTGTGAGGCTTACATGAGATAATATATACAGAGCCCTAGTTTAACAAACTACCCACAGCACTGGCCACGCACCAGGCAATATTCTTTTCATAGAACAATTCAAATGATGATTATGGAGATTACATGCATCAATATTTGTTAAATTACTGGGGTTGCGGCTCAGTGGTAGTGCATTTGCCTGGCATGTGTCTCAATGGGTTCAAATCTCAGCACCACATATAAATAAATAAAATAAAGGTCTATCAATAACTAAAAAGTTTTAGAAAAAAATATTTGTCAAATTAGGAACCATCTCTTCTGGCCCAGTAATCTCTCCCTTCCTCCATCACTTTGCATTTAAACAAATCTTTTGTATATTTTTGTTCAGTTTTTTTTAAAGCTGTATTTAGTTAGAGAGCATGTCGGTGTAATTTTCCTAGTCCACCATGACCAGAAATATTATATTAATTATTTATTATCTCTCCCCAATCTTCATCTTGCCCCAAATAAAATGTAAGCTCTTAGGGTTTTTCATCTTTGTTCATTGAGGAAGCCCAAGTACCTAGAGCAGTGTTTGGCATATAATATGTGTTCAATAAAAACTTGTTGAAACCCTCTTAGGGTTCGTAAGCATGATGACCGAGGTTTTGTGCTATTGTGTGAGATTGCTCCTCCTTCAAATCTTCTTATGACATTAGCACATTACCTGGTCTTACATGAGAAGGAAAAAAAGGTCGCTGAATGAACAAAGAAAGGAAGAGAATAAAACCTATACAGCAGGGTGACTGGCTGGCAGAAGCTGGTCCTCAAGCTACAGAGCGCTAATCAGCCAGAGTTAAGCCAGGTCGGTAGCTGGGAGGACTGACAGGGTTGCAGAAGGTCTGGGCTCCAAATATGGCACTACTGCTTATCACATGTGTGACCTCAGGTAAATGAACTATCCTGTGCCTCGGTTCCCACCAGCTCAAGTAAGGACTAATGAGTTGACATGTCGATGGGATAGAGGAGTCACAGTGGCCAGCATGTAGCCCAAGCAGTGCCATCATTTGCTGTCACGAGGATGACGAATAGCAGGGTCACAGCAGCTTTGGCCCCTGGATGCTCTTATTTCTCTTCCTTGTGCCTTCTCTGTTCCAGAGAGGTGTGATCGGGAGACTGCATTCACACATCTATTCAGTGTGCACCAGGGGTGTGGCTCAATGGTAGAGCACCTGCCTAGCACACATGAGGGCCGGGTTCTATCCCCAGCACCACAAAAAAACCAAACAAACAAAAACATAGATAAAAAAGAAAGGTGTTAACTTTGTGCTGGATACTGTGTTAGGAGCTGGGAAGATCCATGCAAAGGACTCAGTAAGACTGGGGCTCTTGCCGTGGGCTGGGAGTCTGCCCTGTGCTTTATCTTAGCCAGTTAATTCCCTGTAAAAGGAATTAACTGGCTAAGAAGGTTCTGGAAGCACTCTTGCAACAGCTAATTTCAAAAACATTATGGGTATGTGGCCCAACTTTGGGTCCTTTTATCCTCTGCTAACATAAGAGGCTGTATTTTGGGTGAAGAGAAGTGGAACAAGGAGCATGTGCTAACTCTTCAGGAGAGAGAGGCACTTGGCAAATTTTCAGAGTTACAAGAGAATATTTTGCTTTGTCTGTATGGGTTGAATGGGTTTAGATAAAACTCTCCTAAAGAATTAAGGTTTGGGGGGCTGGGATGTGGCTCAAGTGGTAGCACGCTTGCCTGGCATGCATGCGGCCCGGGTTCGATCCTCAGCACCACATACAAAGAAAGATGTTGTGTCCGCCAAAAACTAAAAAATAAATATTAAAATTCCTTCTCTCTCTCTTTAAAAAAAAAAAAGAATTAAGCTTTGGGGCTGGGGTTGTGTTAGTGGTAGAGCACTTTCCTAACATGTATGAGGCACTGGGTTCTATTCTCAGCACCACATATAAATAAATAAAATAAAGGTCCATTGACAACTAAAAATATTTTAATTCTTTTAAAAGCCACCTTTTAAAAAAAGAAAGAATTAAGCTAGGCATGGTGATGCATATCTGCAATCCCAGAGGCTCAGGAGGCTGAGGCAGGAGGATTGTGAGTTCAAAGCCAGCCTCAGCAACTTAGTGAGGCTCTTAGCAACTTAGTGAGACCCTGCCTCTAAATAAAATATGAAAAGAGCTGAGATGTGTCTCATGATTAAGAGCCCTTGGGTTCCATCCCCAGTACCCAAGAAAAATAATTAAGGTTTGATTTTAGGAGGGTGTGTGCGTATGAGAGAGAGAGAGAGAGAGAGAGAGAGAGAGAGAGAGAGACTATTCCTGAGGTTTTTTTTTTCCTATTTTGGGAGGTGGTGGTGAGTGAAAGACTCCATTCACTCATCCGATTGCCCCAGAAGTTCCCTAGGCAAAGTGTACCTGAAACTCTCCCAGGTGTCTGTAAGCTAAGGGGAGCCCTGACTTGAGGGCCCCTGCCTGCTCTGAACAGATCCTCTAAGCCTCTTTTTCACCCTGGACTATTCTGCAGGGTGCCAACTACATACATGCTCATTATTATTGATTCAGACAGTCAACAAATATTTACTGTGCACATACTATGTACCAACTCAAACTTGGAGAAGCCTGCTGCTGGAGGGAGGGGCCGTGGATCTCACCTGGGTGGGTTTACTGAAGGGTAGATAGGGATTTGCTTCAGGACAGGTGGGAAAGAAGGATATTCGAGAGGAGACAGACTCTCAGAAGAGGGAATCAGCTTAGAAACTGGAGCTGGCCCACTGGGGGCCCCATTGCTGAGGGTTTTCCCCTAGGACTCTGCAACAAAGCCACCTAACCCCAGGGTCTGCTGGTGTCCCTCTGCCTGGAAGGTTGAGGTCAGCACTCGGGGGGAAAAAAAGCCAGTCCCTGTACCAGTTTCACAAAGCAACCACCGACCCAGCTTCTCACAAGCAAGGTCTTGTCAATGGAGACCCGAGGAGGGGTCACGTCCCAGAACCCTCACTCTTTCTGTTGTCCCCCACTACTGTTTTCCAGAGTAAACAAAAAAGTTAAAAATTTTAATTTTTTTAAAATTTTTGTTATTATTATTTTTAGTGGTTCTGGGGATTGAACCCAGGGACATTTGACCACTGAGCTACACCCTCAACCCTTCTTTATTTCTTATTTTGAGACAGGGTCTTGCTAAATTGCCAGGGCTGATCTTGAACTTGTGATCCTCCTTCTTCAGCCTCCCCAGTTGCCAAGATTATAAGCCTGTGCCACTGCATCTGGCTCAAGGAATTTTTTTTTTTTAAACAAATAAGAAATGAGTCCCTCAAAGGAATTCCAGGGAATACCATTTTCTCCACCTCGTTTTCATCAGTCGAGGTTACAGCTTTGCGATTTTTGTTACAATTCTCTGCATCCATCCCTTCCAGGAATTGCCTAACAACAGTGTGGGGAACAGAGACACCCCCCACCCCCCATGGGCAAGAGAACAAGGAGCCTTGGGAAGGAAGCAACATGTTTTCAGGGACCTGGACCAGGAGTCCCAATACTGACCCTCCCCCAAGTTCCCAGTAGAGGACAATATAGAGACCCTGAAGAGAACCTCCTTTTCACGTTATGTAGACACTCTAAGCCCCAGCCCCAGGTGTAGGCACTGAGCTGTGACCAGTCCTCACCTAATTTACAGATGCCAAGATTGAAACGCAAGGACACTGTGGAAATCCCTATAGTCACCTGGCTCCCAGGGAAGAGCCAGGTGCCCAAGCTACGCCTATCTCTTCAGCAAGGTCCCTGCCCTCTTGGGAGATTCTTGTTTGACTGCGATTTCGACAATCACAAGGCACCTCTGTCCACCTGCAGGGGCTGGTCCTGAGGGAGGACCTGGGAGACCAACTCCACGTTCTCACCCCGACTCCATCTGCTTCTTTGACATTTTTTTTTTTTCAATTTCCTTCTGCAGTGACCTTGGGTCCTAGGAACCACATGTCTGATTGATAAGCATCTTTATGACAAAGGACCAGAGAGCCTGGCAGGATAGGTCACCCCTTGATAAGATCACCACCCCTCAAGCAGGAGCGATTGTTCCATGATGGAACTGCTCCCACCCCCTCAAGCAGGAGTAACCATCCCACCCTGGGAACCAAACTGCCCTCTCAAGTGGCAATGACCTTCCCAGGGTTTCACTGACCAGTCCTAAGGTAATGATCAAGCAGACGGTGGCCTGACGGAGATGACATTCTCTGCCTGCTGTACACCCCCTCCCTGCCCTGCAAGCCCCCAGCCCTAGCCTTTCTTGCCCTTTTCTACAAAATGCTTAATGTTTTTTCAGCCCCTTGAAGATAGATCTGTGGTCGCCACTCTCCTGGATCTGTTCTTCCCAGCATGGCCATGCTGATTAAAGCTTCTTTCTGGTCCTTCTCTTTGATTGCCATATTGGGACAGGGGGCTGAGCCTGGTCTGATGGGACTCCCTGGAGCTGGGGCCTTGGGCCTAGGACTCTGGTAACAGAGTGTACTATGATCATTCAGCTCCACTCCAATCAAGCTTTTTGTTACTGCTGATTTTCCCCACACTCTGGTTCTCTCAGACTCTGGTGCAAGGGGCTCTTGAGTATCCCTGTCCATTCAGGCAAGAGAAAAGAAACAATCACTTCCAAATGAGAGTGTAGGAAGGCTGCACAAAAGACGACTTCGAAACTGTTCCAGTCAGGCAGAGGATCTCCGTGGGGAAGGAAACCAGCATAACCTGTCCACCTACCGGGAACACAAATGGAGCCCCACCTGATGACTGGAGTCCTTATCTCCCCCCACTTGTGACTCTCAACCCTGCACTATACCACTGGGGGCTGCAGGCGCAGTGGCCCCCAGAGCCCTGCCCCCCCCCCCCCTCCTCTATCTTTATGATACCAATTATCATCATTAGGCCTCTTTGCAGATGTTCTCAGGCCACCTGAAAAGGCTCAGCAAGGCAGCACTGGCAGCCCCGCTTCTTGCTCATGAAGTTAGAGGAGAGAAGAAAACATCTTTTTTGAGCAATTCTCACAAAGGTCCCAGGGTGCACTGTGATTGGCCTGGATCCGTAACATCTCTTCCCCAAGGGCCTGGAGCAGTTGGTAAGAAGTTGAGGGTACGTCCTGCTTGAGGTCTGGGGGAGGGCTTGAACCCACTTACATTACATGAACCAAGACATTTCGAGGAACAGGGAGAGGGTTCGTCCCCCTGTGTACAGGACTGACCGAATGCCTTAGCTTACATGTGCTGCTGCTAGTAACAGGGACACTTGTGTCCAGTCTGCTTCAGTCAGATTGCTTCTGGCAGCATATAACAGCAACCTTCCTCAGAAAGGAACTGTGTTTTACCCCCCAAAGGAACACCCAGCAGTGGAGCAGCCTCCACGCATAGTTCAACCTGCTGCTGGGCGCTGCAGTGGAGGTGCCAGGGGGTTCCCATCCTTCTCCTCTGCCTTTCTCCCTGGGAGCTTGATTGTAAGTCTGTTTTCTCCTGGTAGTCAAAAGATGGCTGCAGCAGATCTGGATTTCACATCCAAATTACATCTTCTGCTGTTTCTTAGGAGCAAGAAAATCTTTTCCAAAAGCTCTGCTGTGGAGGTCTGTTGGGCTTCAACGAGCAGACTTGGGTAACCTCCCCATTCCTGGGCGGGTAACTGCCAGCACACCAGGGACATTACTATGATGGGACATTCCTTTAGTGGTTAAAACAAACATTTCAGGAGAAAGATGGCAG